ATGGATTTCTTTGGGTTGCAGGAGGATGTGCAGAGTTTGTTGAAAACCTTGCAACTGAGCACCAGACAACTTCATCATATTTGTGGGTACTCCAAGGTAAAGAAAACTACAACTACAGTGCTAGTGAACTCTTGTTACTTTAGTTTCTCTATTTCTAGCAAGTTAGCACACTCTTAGTATTTTATTCATCCTTTGTAATGGAGCAGTGAAAAAATATTGTTTGGAAATGCCCAGTTCCTGGTCATGTATAATATTGAGAATAAGGGTAAGATTGCTTAGGCTAATATGCTGTAAAACTGTGGTTTATCTGCATCTTAATCTTCCTGGTTCTGTTATTATAAGTATTTTATTATAATATAAATATTGTGATTTTTAAAAAATTCTCTAATTAGCAATAGGGAAAGCATTCCTCCAAGAAAAATGCAAACGGCACTAAGGAGATATGTCAAAGGCCATCTAGTGCATTCATAAAGTATAATATTAATTTGTGCAATAAAGAATCGGAAGAATATACAGTAAATAGTTCTTTCTTGGTTTGCATTTCTTACACATATAGATTCATCAAGACACAGGTCTCACCAGTCATGTACCTCTCCTAAAGAAGTCGCTCGAGCTATTTGTTTACCGAGTGAAAGCAATGCTGGCTCTCAATCATTGTCAGGAGGCTTTCTGGGTGGGCATCCTCAAAAATAGGGACTTGCAGGTAAGTGTGTGTGTCTCATGAATGGCTCGTTAATTCAGTTTCACCCATGTTCATTGGCCATTATTATTTGGAAAAACTTGAAAATTAATTAGAATAGATTTTTTTATTTATTATTGGATCTGATGCATATGATATGGAATTAAGCTTCAGAGAATCATTGAAATGTGTAAAATGTTGTTGCTTATAGCAGATGACATTAAAATGAATTTACTGAGCAAGCTTTGGTATATAGAAGAAATGCTATAGTTTTCAAAAGATGACGAATCACTATAGAGAAATATAATTCTTACACTAACCTGGGGTCTCCATAGAAGGGACAGAAAATATCATTCCATCTTTCTTTCTTCTTCTCTGGCTTGTTTGTTCAGAAAACAGTGGTTCAGTTGCTACAATTTGAATAATTGATCCTTTTTCCATGGGGATGATCTGAAGTTGCTTCTGTCTTCCAGTAAAAATATTTTTCAGAAAAGAATCCATTGAAAGAGCAAATTCAAAAGAGAAGGTTTTTTTTTGAGGGTGGTGAAAGTACACAAATGTAACTATTGATCTTAGTGATAGGCAGGTACCATTAGTAGAATATAGCTCAAATATTTACTAAAAATGTTTTCAACTTTCCAATATAATACCTAGATCAGAATTCAACTTTTGGAACCAGTAGAAATATGGACACTTTCACAAAGTGCCTGTGATGTTGAGTGTGGCCAATCACAAATCTCCCACTCTTTTGCCTCTCAGGATCCTCTCTATCTCATCTTACTCTTCTCTCTCTCTTTTTTTTTCTTGGCAGTTTGCCACTATTTCATTTTTTAAAAATGTGCCTGTGGTCTTCAAATAACAAGAGTCTCCTGCCCAAGAGGTGTTTGGCCCATTACATAATGCAAATGAGAGAAAGAAGTGTAGATATTGTACAATAAGTTTACACAGGGCAGCTTTGATTCATATACCATGTTTTCTCAAAAATAAGACCCTGCCTTATATTTTTTTTGAACCCCGAAATAAGTATTTGACCTTATTTTCGAGGAGGTTTTATTATTTTGGGTGCGTGGAGCAAGATGGGGGTCCTCTTGCCATCTTACCTGATTTTCAGCTCTGTCTCCCTAACCCTAACCAGAGGAAATGGTGGGGATCGGCTGCGCATGCAGTTAAATATTTTCAGGGAGGGCTTATTTTCAGGGGATGGGCCTTATTTTAGTGCATGTACTCAAAAGCCCTATTGGGCTTATTATCTGGGGAGGTTTTATTTTCGGGAAAACAGGGTAGGTAGTCTTCAACTTAGAACAGTTTGTTTAGTGACTGTTTAAAGTTACAACACACTGAAAAAAGTGACATGACCATTTTTCACACTTATGATTTGCAGTATCCCCATGGTCACATGATAAAAATCCAGATGCTTGGCAACTGACTCATATTAATGATGGTTGTATTGTCTTGGGGGGTCATGTGATCAACTTTTGCGACCTTCTGACAAGTAAAGAGTCGCTGTGAGCAAATGAGTGGCTATATAAATTTTCTAAATAAATAAAAAGTCAATGGGGAATCCAGATTCACTTAATAACTGTGCGACTAACTTAACAACAGAGATTTTCCTTCTCTTTCTCTGCCTGCTGTTCAATTCTCCTTTTAGTGATTTTCAAGATCATGATTGCCTGCCACAGCCACAGAGGAAATAGGCATGGGAACTGATTTTCCTTTTTCACCATAGAGGCCTTGTCTGATAAAGATGTTGAGCAATTAATTTCTCTGCATTGCAGTTAACATCTTGAAACTTCTCAGATATAAAAGCCATTGGCCTGAAGACAAATTATAAAATAGCCTCAGTTCATCAGTGAACTAACATTGATAAATTTCTATGAACTAACTTCCAATTCATTGCTAGGAAAATGTCAGCCATATTCACTGTGTCCATTAGCATGCTCTGGGATTCATTTCACCAATATACAGCATAACCCACACAATATGGTACTCCAATTCCTTGATTATCAATTACTGTATTCCCCTTGAATTGTACATTATAGGAATGGATTTTGATTTATTCAGGTTGAAAGGCAGGGCAGCCTATACTCAAGCCCTATTCACATTGTTACAGAGATTCCGGTATTCTTTTCAGAACCACATCATACTCATTTAATCTGTTCTAGGGAGAAGAGATCCTTTCACAAGCATCACAAGTAACCGAAGCAGAAGAGACAGAGATGCCCACACACTCTCGAACAGATCGTGGAGAGGTATTCATGTCCATCTAGAGGCAGATTGCTTGCTTATGGCGATGGCTCTATACTTTGCTTTTGAAAAAGACCAGAACTATTTTTCCCCAGAGAGATGCTGGCTCTAGAGGTAGTAGGCAATATAAGGAAAATAATTATACAAGGATACGTAAGATATTACAAACTATTCTTTCTTAAATTTATGAAAAATTGCAACAATGCTGCCCTGTTTTAAAAAGTAACAAGCATGAAAGTGCAATTGAATTCCAGTTCTCTCCTGTTTTAGTTAGGTTACTTCTGCTAAATATACTTTGTCAGAATTGTTAATCTATAAAAGCACAGAACTACTAAAAATCTGACCATTGACATTTTAGCAACATTTTTTTTCTGAGTTAGACTTTTACAATTTACACTTCTTATTCAAACAGGTATTGACATGTTTTATTCTCTGACATTTCATAAGGTAGTGCTGAGCGATTGATTGATTTAAGCTCAAATTATTTTGAAAGGATTACTCAATTTTTCCACTTAGAAGATGGGAAAAAAGGGACTGGTTCACCTTTATATGAATCAAATCTTTTATTTCATTTACAGATATAAGACCAATCCTAATAATATGGCTACACAATTGCAATTCCACTTCTAAGTTATGCTGCAAACATAATTATTTTATTGCTTGGAGATTCCTTTTACATCAGTTTCCATTGGTCTAATTTTAAAATATAAGTAAAACACCCACTTCATTGAAATGTAAAGAATTAAGATTAAGCATGCCAACTAGTCTGTTCGTCTAGGAATGGAGAATTTATATTTTGTATTCCCCAGTTGTTTACACATTTGGCATTTTCTCTTCAGGAAAAGGAAGATTCAGAGACTGAAGATACAGTGGATACCAATGATAGTGATGAAGACAGCTCTGATTAGAATATGCTATAATTCTGGGTGAAACTTTTTGGTTTTGATTATTGGAATGTATATCTCAAGAAGTTTATAATTTTTATCCAGACAATATTAAAATAAATTGGATGAGCCAAGGGCACTATTATTTGCCTTTTAATAATCAACTCTTACTATTACTTTGAAAATGAATATATTGAGCATTTTTTCTCCCACTATGCCTTTTTTTGCATCTCTATACCATTCCCAATAAGCAAAAAATTACAAATTTTACTTGAAGTGTCGCAATCAAGATAACTTTTTTAGGAAAGCTTACCAATAGCTTTCCTGCATTTAACAATTGTGTCAGGAAATGATTCTAGTCATATTTAATAATTCATGTGGTTGGATATAAAATAGGAGATCCATTTAAGTTGACATTTGTTGGTATCAAATGTCTCAGGTGAAAGACTGGTATTTATATTAAATTATATTATCCCAACAGAATATAAAAAGAATTGGGGATTATAACATTAAAATAGTGGTGGGTTTATAATCTTATAATTCTATTAAGTTATGTTGATAGAATATCTTTTTTTTTATAAAAGCAAAAGCTGATTTCCATTCATATTTTTTAATCACATACGAAGCAAACTTGCACAATCAAGCACAGTGAAATTTAGCGATTCTGACGGTCTCCAGTTTTGTTTCTTGAATCAATATACTGCGACAAGGAAACCCCTCCTTTTAGTTCCATTTGAAGACTTTGTCTTGAGATGGATCAGGCTTTCGTTAGTAGGAAATAGACTGACCCAGTTGATGTCATTGGGCCATCTTGGAAATAAAATAGGGTGGTGATGCTTTGAACTCCCAAGGAAACTCGGAATAACCAATGCAGGGGAAAAAATCGTGACCAAAAGAGTGGAAGTGTCTCGTGGCCTCCCGTCTTTTTGCAATTCAAATCAGGTGCTCTTAAAGTTAGGATTAGGGTTCCATCCTGGAAGCGGAAGATTTGTTATAGGCTACTACATCACAAACATTTCACACAAAAATAAAGGACAACTTCCTGAACGAAGGAATCCGAGATCCAGAGCCTACAGCAGTCGCGTTCAGCCTGTGACGTCAGCGTCGCAAGCTACTTCCGGGTTTCAGTTCCTCCGGTAGCCCCATTGCAGCCAATAGTGGTGCGGAGGGAGGAGCCGAGCTGCGCATGCTCAAGAGTGGGGAAAGGAAGAGGGCATCTCCGGGGAGCGTCGTGCGCGCGCAGGCGTCCTCGCTTATCTGTGGGGAAGCGGAGCTGCTGCCAGCTGACTCGGCCATGTCGGTCCAGGAAGACCCGGTCCAGCGCGAGATTCACCAGGACTGGGCGAACCGCGAGTACATCGAACTGATCACCAGCTCCATTAAGAAGATCGCGGACTTCCTCAATTCCTTCGGTAGGTGCGGGCGCCGTCCCCTCTTCCCCCGGCGGGGTGGGGCGGAGGAGGAGGAGGACCCTCCTCTGAAGGGGCAACTGCAGACTGGGCGGAGCGGGCGGGTCCGTGGCCGGCATTAACGGCGCTCTCCTCGCCCTCGCAGACATGTCCTGCCGCTCCCGCCTGGCCACGCTCAATGAGAAGTTGACGGCGCTGGAGAGACGGATCGAATACATCGAGGCCCGGGTGAGGCATCTCCCTTGCGTGCCGGCAGAAGCCGCCGGGGGAGCTCGGCTGGCGAACGATCCTTCCCGTTGAGCCTCCGCAGCCCCCCAGCCTTAGTCCCCGGGCTCCGGCTCACCCGTTTGGGAGTGGGGTGGGGGGCTTGAAGTTGCCCGGTCGCTGCCCCTGCGGGTTGGGCAGAATCACCCAGGGCAACTGCCTCTGGGTGGGTCAGCGGGTTTTGTCTTTTGGGGCGGGTGGGGGGGGAGGGATCTCGGTTTTCAGCCTAGTGACATGTCTGCTTGTTTCTTTTAAATGAGGTAAAGTGGCTTTCCTGCGTTTGATAAATTTATTTATTTATTTATTGTTATTGTTATTGTTATTGTTATTATTATATTTCTATAAATCAATTCCCTGGCTGAATATATAGTCAAAAGCGTTTGATGCATTTCCGCCTTTTTGAGCCATTGTTTTGTTTCTTAGTGAGTTTTATATCTCACCTTTTCGTAGGAGCTCAAGGAGATGTAAATAATGCTCCGTCCAATTTTCCCCATAACAGGCTGCACTGAGAGACAGTGGCCTAAAGTCATTTGATGGCTGAGCTTTTGAGGGTAAGCTTGACCCTGAGTCACAAAGGCACCATTCCCAACACACTTTTGATTTTGTAATAGGGAAAGAGTCTTGTCTTTAAAGACCAAATGCTTTTCTAAGCAGGCTTGAAACCATTGCCTGAATTAGTTCTTATATAGTACCCAAGCAACTAAAGTCACGTTCGCTTCCAAGTTTTGTTCATGTTTCTTAAAAGACAAACTTTTCTTGCTTCCTGATGGAGACATAAGGTCTCTTCTGCTTCCCCAGATATATTCCAATGTAAGCAAACCTTTTTTTTCCCTTGACAGGTAACAAAGGGTGAAACATTGACATAGTGTGAAGCTGTTCAAGAAGTCAACCTAGGGAAAAAAAGTGCAGCTGTTTAGAAAGCTGATGATCAGACTTCAGGTTTCTTCATTACTTAACATGGATGGGAGTTAACTCATTTTTGCCCCTTGGGAAGCTGCCTCCTCCATTTGGAGACTTTGTGTGGGTGATTCCAGCTGAAACGGCTAAATTGTACAAGAGCATGTTTAATTATGTGGTTTTATACAAGCAGATTCGCACAGTTCTTGTCCTATTGTGTCCCATGTACACGCAGAACTCTGGCTTCACAGCAATTAAATATTGATGGAACACAATCTTAATTTCTGGGAACACTGATTATTACTATGAGTTATTTTTGAGAATCAGGATGTTAGGGCTATGCATGGTGTGTGGCTCTTATGGCTCGCTATTGCTGCTCCAAGATATCAAGTAATCTATTTGAATAAATGTGCAGTATGTGTAGGGTGGGGTGGGCTGAGGGAGATCATGTGCCAAGGGAGGGATGACTCAGTTTTCTAAGTATTTTGTATTCTTTAATGTAATTTGAGATGTCTTTTCCATTTGTGTTCAACAATAAAATCACTTCTGCTTAACACATCTGAACATTTTTTAGCTAATTTAAGAATATGCATGCACTTGATACTGTCATAGAGTACTACACAACCCTTATATCAAATTTGCCACATTCACATTTTATTGCTGTTTTATATTATGGTTCTTTTAGCACCTTGGAAATTTTTTGGTTCCTGTGCTGCCCCGTTTCCTACACCACCACCCCCAGCAAGAGTTCTACAGATGCTTATTCAACAACCCACCCACCCCCAAACAGATCCTCCGACAGCACCTCCATTGCACAGGTTCCAGATTTCAAGCTCAATACAGCAAGAGTCACTGGGTAATGGAGTCCAATGGACACACACAAAGTCCAGGAAAGCAGTCCAGGAATCAAATTGGCCAGGATACACATCACGCTTTGCAGATTGCTGGTTGCTTGATGCTGTTTCTTAAGTTGGGCACCAGGAAGTGGCAGCTAGGATTGTTGCTCTTGCTTTCTGCCTGAGCTCCTTGATTCTGGCTTGGTTGGCAGTGGAGTGCCTGAGCTAATGATCCTAGGGGATTTTAATTTGCCTTCACTGGGCATGGGGTCAGAGGTAGCTTGGGAGTTCCTAGCTACTATGGCAGCCATGGGCCTGACCCAAATGTCTAGAGGTCAACTCATAACAGTGGTAATGCACCCGATTGGGTTTTTCTGTCAGGTCAATGGCAGAGTGTTCTGGATTTGAAGAACATACAGATTTCTCCCTTGCCAGGGTCAGATATTCACAGGTGAGCCTCCAGTTCTCTGGTGCCAACCCTTCCTCAGGCAAGCTAGGCCTATTGGAGCAATCAGGCCCGGCAAAGGACCTGATTAGGTTCCAGAGGGAGTTTGGGGTTATTCCAGAAAATCTATTTCTTGATCCAATTGAAGCTGTTGTGGCTGCATGGAACAGCAAAGTACCAGCGGCTTTAGATTGGATTGTGCATGAGTGGCCTTTCCTTGTCCAGGGTTCCTGATGCTCCCTGTGGTACATGATGGACTTAAGGGAACTTAAAACAGGTTAAGACACTCTACGGCGCCGGTGGCAAAAAAGAAAAAAAAAATGAAGAGCTATAGCTACTATTAGGGTCTACCTTGTGGCGGAAAGAGCAGAGAATTGTAGCTATTTCTTCATTCTTATTGCCTCTGCCAATTGTCACCCAGTGTCCCTGTTTCAGGTGACTTGGTCCCTCCTTGAAGGGAGCAATACAAAGTTCACATAGCAGGGGTGTCAAACTGGTGGCCCGTGGGCTGGATGCATCACATGCAGGCCATGCATGCCCACCTCAGCTCTGCAAAGGAGGAAACATTGCGATATGTCATGTGATGGCAACATGACACCGTGAGTTTGACACCTGTGACGTAAAGGTGAGGAATATGCTGCACATCTGATGATCAAAGTAGCTGACATTCACTCTATGTTGGATTCCAGCTTTAAAACAGAATATGTAGAGGTGGTGGGGTTACATCTTGCAAGGGGAACCTGGGAAAGTGGACAAGGCCCTCTCAGATGCTAGTTTGGCCACTTGTATAGTAAATCCATGCTCTTCCTGTCCTGACTTATTAAAGCTGCGTGGAAGGGGAGACGGGATTGTGTCTGGGTGGTAGTTTATGCCTCCTTGAATGAGGGAGTGGTCCTACCAATTCTTAAAAGAGGCAGTGGTGCACCCCCTCCTCAAAGGACCATTGTGTGATCCAACCAAGTTTGACAGTTTCACCCACTCAGCTGGGAGTCTGTCGGCTCCAACAGATCACAGGAACAATATCAGAGCTCTCTGTCCAGAAGAATGCAGTGTTAGGAATAGCTAAAATACTGCACAGAACCCTCAAATTCCCAGGCCATAGAGGGCCCAACATTGAGGAAGACACAAACCACTTATAGGGTGAGAATGGTTATATGTATACACAAGTATAATTAAGTTTCTTAATGTATGAGATAAAATTATTCAAAATGCCTGCAAACTGAAGAAAATAAACTGAGGAGACAAGATCGTTTTTTTCAAACATGAGATTATAAAAAAGAACTGCGTTGAAGTTTCTAAACAGAATTGTTGATAAAAATGGGAATTAGTTTAAAATGCAGATTTCCATTCAAAACTTACAATTTTGAAACCACAAGGAGCAGAGAAAACTTAGACTAGTAAGAGTAATATTATATCAACTTAAATTCAATTGGAAAGTGTGGTAATATTCTAACAGTTTATTACCTGATTTGTTAGCAAGTAGCCTTATGGCTAAGATACAAAATTTAGCAATTGGAAAGGTAACAACTGTCATCAAGAAAAACTTAAACAACACTGATTGGAACAGTTGGGAAATTAGAGGTTGAATTAATCGAGGAGGTTTCGTATAATATTTACACTTTAAAAATATGTATTCTAGGGTTTAAATTTCACCTCAGGCAAATAAGACTCCTCCTGAGGTCAATGCAAGGAATGGCCTTGGAGATTAAAACAAGCAGACACAGCTGTCCAAGAAAGATTACACTATGGGTGATAAGAAGGATTCAAACAAACAACAACAGAGAAAAAATTGGCAAGGTTGAGAAACACTGATGTATCACACACCAATTCCCACTGGAAAATTTCTGTGTAATTTGTGCCCAGGTTATGTTAGTGTATATATCCCCTTTGTTCCCTGCCAGCGCACATATTTTACCGCTTTTAAAGTCTAGCATTCCTGCCTTCAAAATAAACTAAATGTCTCCTTCGGTGGAGCAAAGCTGAGAGATGGGGAAAAAAGCCTTCTTTCGGGTCTGCCTAACCCCAAATGTTTTGCTTTCTGCGTCAGCTTCTCCTCCTCCTTTAGACTTTCATTTTCGTTCTTGAATGCCAGGCGGACTCCGTGATCTGAAAGTGACTGTGGATTGTGTGGAAATCCGGCTTGCTTCGCGCTGGTTCTCCCAAAGGTGCTTTTTCAAGAGGCAACTGGACTTTCTGGGTTTTCTTTGAAGACGTTTCGCTTCTCATCAAGAAGCTTCTTCAGTTCTGATTTCGACCGGTGAGGCACTTGGGAGTTGGCCGAGTCCACGTAGAATTAGACTAAGCAAACCGGGAACTCTGCTCTGCAGACGCTGGGTGGGGCCGACCTACGGTCTGTTTTTGGCAGGGCGCCGGGTTTTATCCGAAACGCAGTTCAGATAAAATCAGGGGTGCAGAGGATGGTGGCTGCTCCCTTTGTAGAAAATGCCTCACTATGGCCGCCAGCACGGGAGGGAAGGGAGAGTCTCGTTTCTTGCCACTGGGGCAGAGGGGAGTGGGGCGGGGGAGGTCTGGCGGTGGGTAGCCTCTCCTTTGCCGTCTCCGCTGAGAGATTTTTCGACCGAGGGGGTCAGGGAGACGAAGCTGCAAAAGCCATAACGAATCTCGGTAGCAGCCATAAAGTTTGCGTTTAGCCTTTTTATTATGGCAAAGTTGGCTGGAATGAAGATAGGAATGGGATTCTAGCTGATTTGCAAGGTCTGGGCTGCGCAATCTTGTTTTATCACTTCCTTTCTTACCTGGTTTCTCTACAACTTTTTCAGCTGAAAACCTTTCAAGGCTGTCCTTGCTAACCCATAGAGAAGCCGATGCTAGAACAGGTAGTCCTCGACTTACAGCAGTCCGCTTAGTGACGGCTCAAAGTTAGTATAACGCTGAAAAAAGTGATTTATGGCCATTTTTCACACTTACGGCTGTTGCAGCATCCCCATGGTCATGTGATTTACATTTGGATAGCAATAGCACTTAGGCTTATAAAGATAAAACTACAGTGACTATATTTTCTTGGAAAATATAAAGGATAAACCTGAAAAAGGGGGCAAATCTGAAAGACAAGCCAGCGAAGGAGCCATTGCAGTGCTGCTAGATATTTTATAGAGGGAAGGTAAATAGTTATACATAGAACTTTGGCATGACTAAAGTTAACTTTACTATTTTTAATTCCAAAATCTGGTTTATGGTTAATTTCCCTTATAATCGCCCATTCCCAGACCTCCAAAATTGTATCTGACCAAATCTGGAACTGTTCAAGTTAACACCAGCTCTGACTTCCCAAACCATGTGCTCTGCTTGTTTCTATCATATATAACACATTCTTCTTACTTGGTGAGCAAACATCTGGTAGAAGTCAGGTACCTTCTGCTGTATAGACCAAAAATACTTTCTGGCATTGTTCTGTAGCTGGGATTTCACCATGGTTTTGAATAATACAGATTGCTGTACAGATAGTCTTCAATTTATGACCACAATTGAGTCCAAAATTTCTGTTGCTAAGTGAGACAGTTATTAAGTGAGTTTTGCCCCACTTTAGGACCTTCCTTGCCAAAGTTGTTAAATGAATAGTTGCAGTTATTAAATTAGTAATACGGTTGTTAAGTGAATCTGGCGTCTCCATTGACTTTGCATTGTCGTAAGATCACTAAAGGCGATCACATGACCCTGGGATAGTACAAGGGTCATAAATATGAGTCAGTTGCTAAGCATTTAAAGTTTGATCATGTGACTGAGATGCTGCAAGGGTTGTGTGAGAAATGGTCATGAGTCATTTTTTTCAGTGCCATTATAACTTTGAATGGTCACTAAACTGTTGTAAGTTGAGGACTACCTGTACTGCTCCAAACCAAACCAAAGGCCTGGTTAAATATGGCCTCAGCCCAAGTTCCTTTTCTGCTCTTGTTTTAAAAGAAGACAAGACATGATCCCAAGCCTGGCCCTGGTTGGTCTGAGTATGAATTGAAACTCAGACATGGTTGGCGATTAAGGAATGCAGGGTGGTTAAATGCCTCTTCACTACAGGTTGTAATTTGGGTATTCCTGTATTCCACCCATCTGTCAAGATTATGCAAAATCCTTTCTGAATCCTAACATTTACTTTGTGTTTTTTTCTGGCCTCTAAAACATGTGGTGCTTGTAGCTTGGCTATCACCTTACAATGGACACTGGAGGCAGAAAGATGAAGGACCTGCTTGTAGATGCTTTAGAATGTCTTGAGGAAAGAGACATTAAGAAGTTTAAGTTTAAGCTGCGAGATGCAACAGTTCCTCAGGGAAAGAATATTCCACGTGGTCGGTTGGAAAATGCAGACCGGCTGGATCTGGTGGAGCTCCTTGTCGAATTCTATGAACAGAAAGCTGCTAGACTAATGATAACTATCTTGGAAGACATGGGTTGCAAGAAAAATGCTTCCAATCTCAGCAAAGGTATGGATGTGCTGAACCATAATTAGAGTTGCAATATTTAGATCCAGAGTGGGCAAGAGTATTATAGTATGGGCAATCTCTCTGTAGCTGTTGGCTGTACCTTATGGGAGTTGCACTAAGAGAATACACATTTGAGTGAAGGAAGCAGTGTGACTGCACCTTTCTCTTCCGTAAGACCTTAACTCAAACGTTACTTTTCTGGTTCCTGACACCTATCATGCAAAGCCAAGAAAACCAAGAAACTGTGAGTTCTAGTCCTGCCTTAGGCATGAAAGCTGCCTGAGTGACTTTGGACCAATCACTCCCAGCCCTAGTCACTCCCAGGGTTATTGTGAAGAAATTAGTAGGCAGGAGTATTAGGTATATTTGCTGCTGATTTTGGTATATTTGCCGCTGAGAACGAGAAAGAAAGAAAAATAAAAGAAAGAGAAGAAAGAGGAAAGAAAGAGAAAGGAAAGAAAGAATCCTAATTAACGTTTGTGTTTCCTTTTCAGAGCTCAAGGATCAAATTCAGGGTATGTGAACATCTCATTATAAGGCATTGCAATTATTTATATAAATGTATATAAACCCTAAGATAAATGCATAATTTTGTCTTTATTTTGGGAGAACAGTTATGACATTTTAGCAGAGTGTATAAAAACTTAACACGTGAAACATATTTCAAGTAGAAAACTAAAAACAATCTAAAAATTTCAGAGATATAACTAGTTAATTAGTTCCAAATTGGTATTCGTCTGTGATACTATTGGAGTAACAAACGAATGATAATTTAGAGACCTGTGCTAGGGAGAACAGGTCTAAACTTAATTTTTGCCACATAGCTAACAAATATTAGGGTCTAAGTAAGTCTACTTATATATATGATGAATGACACAAGCTCTAATCTATAACATAGGGTAGATCTAGAATATGGTAATTTTAAAAAACCTATATTAGAATGTGTATGTACTCAACCTATTCTGAAATATTATAGTAGATAAGCATTATATCTGCTTCAGGATACTTCCATTGCTTTTGACAATTTGAACAAAACAAACACGCACAAAAAGTTGTTGGAGGAATCAGTGGTAAATACCTATAAAAAATGCCCTCTAGAAATATTCGACTCTCATAATCCCTAGTGCTTAGTCAATGTAGCCTTTGCTAGAAGGTAATAAATTGTGAAAGAATGATATAGATGGCTACGAAGAAGCCCTGTGAGATGGAGGATCTCTTTTGATAGACCAGTTAGTTAGGAACAACAATCATACTAGATGATGGGGCCTTCTCTTTGTTTTCTGGTACTTTCCTAGGTTACAAAAAAAAGTATGCCAAGTATGTGAAGGAAGAATGCAAAAATATAGAAGAAAGGAACAGTCTGTGTGGTGAGAGCATTCCTTTGAATTCATGCTATGCAGAGCTGCTTATTATCAAGAAGCATCAACCCCAAAAACAGAAGGAGCATGAACTCCTTGCCACTGGCAGGATGCATCTGGAAATCCTGAGAACCAATAGCAATCATTTATCAACCAACATTGAAGATTTATTTCAACCTGATGAATCAGGAATTCCAAAAACAGTGGTGTTGCAAGGACCTGCAGGGATTGGGAAAAGCATGACTGTGCAGAAGATCATGCTGGACTGGGCTGATGGGCAGCTCTACCCAGATATGTTTGATTATGTATTTTGCATTCGTTGCAGGGAATTGAACTTTGCTACAAAAGCCAGCAGCTTGGCTGAACTTATTGTTGAGCAGTGTCAGGACAGAGATGTCCCAGTGGAAGAAATCTTAGCCCACCCTGAAAAACTGCTCTTTATCATTGATGGTTTTGATGAGCTTTCTCACTTTTTAGAACCCGAAAGTAACTTGTGTGAGAAGCCTAATTTAAAGGTGCCTTTGGAAAATATTTTAAACAGCCTGCTGAGAAAGATACTCTTGCCAGAGTCCTTTCTCTTAATCACCACAAGGCCCGGTGCTCTAGAGAGACTGCAGCAATACTTGAAGTGTCCCAAGTTCACCGAGATCGTTGGCTTCTCTGAAAAAGGTCGCCGTGAGTTTTTTTCCAAGTTTTTTGAAGAGGAGAGGAAAGCCAATATTGCCCTGAGATTCATTGAAAATACTGTTGCAGTGTCCACCATCTGCTTCATCCCAATGGTGTGCTGGATCATTTGTTCTGTGATTAAAATAGAACTGGAAACTGAAGATGAGATTGCAGGCACCTTGGATACCACAACAAAAGTCTTTTTGCAGTTTTCTCATATTCTTCTTAAGCATGATAATCCCAGATGGAAATCCTCCCCTCAAAATGAGCTCAGAAAACTTTGTTCTTTGGCCAGAGCTGGCATAATGCAACAAAAAATCCTCTTTGAAGAGCAGGATCTCAAAGAACATTGCTTGGATGTTTCAGCTCTTAAGGACCTCTTTTTAGAGAAAAGAACTTTCAGGACAGTTTTGGGCAGGCGCAGTCTCTACAGTTTTTTCCATCTCTGTTTTCAAGAGTTTTTTGCTGCCATGTGGTATATACTGCCAGCGAAGTCAACAGAAGAGATGGATCACATTATGGCCGACCTGCAGAGAGTATTGGTTGAATGGGAGATGCCAAATAATCAACATTTTGCACTAACTGTATGTTTCATATTTGGCCTGACAAATGAAAAGACACACGTCTTCTTTGAGCAAACCCTGCAATGCAAGACTTCTGACCTTGTAAAGCCTCTCTTATTACAGAAAGCAGAAGAAGTAGCAGTTAAGAAACACGTTCAAAAACGCTATTTCCTGCTAAATTTTTTTCACTGCTTGTTTGAGAGCCAGGAGCCAGAATTTGCAAAGTGTGTGATGCATCACTTCCAAATTGTTGACCTTTCCTTCAACACGCTGTCTGTGTTAGACTGCAAAGTCTTGGCGTTTTGTCTGCAACATAGTACAATTGAGGATCATTCCCTTATCTTAAGTATCTGCAGGTTGAAATCTCATCACATCAAGGCTTTGGCTCCAGGAATTAAGAACTGTACAACTCTAGAGTAAGTGATCCATCCTTTCCAGTTTTCAAATTTAAACTGAAGCTGAGATTTTTAAGAGTTTTCCATGTTTTGATCCTGCTTTTGCTAATTGTGCCTTCTTCTCACATTTTGAAAGTATCATTTATGATTTCGTTCTGCAGAATTATTACTGTATATACACAATACTGTGAAACCACAGTTGACAGTTCTTTAGCTGGTGTTGACCTCCATACGCATTGAGTTCTTCCCATATAATATATCAACATAATATATGTGCAGCTCTAAGCAGTGTGGCCTTTTGTAACTGACAGATGGAAATTTTGTCAATGTGTAGATTTTGTAAAGTGCTATGCAATATTTTTTTTGTATGGTGCACAGCGTGCCAATAACCACTGGGGCCATCACAGCTAGTTTATACCATAATTTTTAAAACTTCAATTAATGCTTTGTGATCTCTTCCAGTTTTTTGTCTTCTATTCTATCCCCTGGTATTGCTACATCAATTATCCACTTTTTTTTTAAATCACATTGCAGCTTTGGAGATAACAAACTTGGAAACTCAGGAGTGAAAGTTCTCTGTACCATTCTGAAGCAACTGGGTAATTTGACTAATTTGAAGTGAGTAATAAGGGAGCAAAGGCACCTCTAAACAGTTGGGTGCATAATTTTGCCTTGGAAGAATTGGGTATCCATCCTGATAACTAGCAGCCAATTGGGTGAAATTCTAAAATAAGTAATTAGGCATCAGTTACTCAGAACTGATGTTCAGAAAGTCAATTAATCAATGTGAATAGTAAAGAGCAAGGCAGAGGTGAGGAGAGGATAAGCCATTCCTAGAGAACTCCCAATGCAGCAGCCAACTACTAAAAAACATACAAAAATCAATGATCATCTTCAATTCCAGGCTACACCTGAAGGCCTGTCCTCAATAAACTGAGGTAATTCTTTGCTTGGATTTTTGTAAGTGGCTTTCTGCCACTTACAAAAAAATTTCCTATGTTCTTCTTAAGATGGGTGAAGCATAACTTAATGAGGAAGTCTAAGTATTTCTTGTGCTGAATCTTCAAGTCTATTTTGACCACATTATGTCCACAGGAGCTTATGGATTTTTCCTCATTTGGTAACATATGACATGTGGTAGTTCTGTATATGGTTCTATCTTGGTACAGACCTCAGTGTTATGACCACATGTAAATGAGATGGACTGTTTTTTCTCATAAGTTCCCGGGGAAGTGTTTTGAACACTTTTATGCATCAGGATTTAACAATGACTCTAGTCATCAATGTGACAGTACTGGGGGGGGGGTGTATTTTTTGTAAGATCTCTACATTTTAGCCTGGGAGGGGATCAATAGCATTAACTGCCTACTTGGCTTCACAATGAGTATAAATGACAAGGTGATTTTTCCCCCGAGTTTAATTGATATACACCAACACCATGCATTTATCACTTAAGGGTACAAGCTAGATAGCGTTGGTGTTGGCTTGCCTCTGTGGTAACATTTGCTGAATCAAGTCTAAGACATAGGGTAATATTCAGATCAGAAAGACTCTGTCACATCAGCCAAGGTTTAATTCAAATATAATTGGTTAAAGTGAGGTAGGGGTGGAAAGTACCATCGGTAATAATTTGTTTGTCATGCACACCTACATGAATTTATGTCTCTGTGTTCTGATTTTGTTATCAAAAAAGATTGAGCAAACTTGTAATGTGGCTTCTAATTTTCTCTTTGCCAGACTTTATTGCAATTACCTCACAGATGCTTGTGCCCAAGAGCTTTGTGCTGTTCTCGGAACTAGTCACAGACTTTACAGTTTAGATCTTCAAGATAACTCCTTCACGGACAACTCTGTCCCATTCATCCAAGACTTGATGAAAAATTGCACCACCCTGACTATTGTATAGTGAGTACTGATAAAGGTGGAAGACAACATTTGGCTTGCCTTCTGGGAAGTGGATAATATTATTCTGCAATTGTAGGTGCTGAGGCTTACTGGAGTGTTTGTGATGGCTATCTTGTGGTACCATTGGGTTGAGCATTCCAAATAGTGGGAGACTACCAATAGTTACAGTGGTAATGGGAACACTACTGGAAGACTGGATTAGGGATACATCATGATGGAGGGAATTTATCCTGACCATGGCAGGAGATCCTATAGCACTCCAGACAAGTGGTTTCTAGTCTTCTGTTGAAAACTTCCAGGGATGGAGCACTCATAATTTCTGGGAGCAAGTCTTTTCACTGATTACCGTATTTTTCAGACTATAAAACGCACCAGTATATAAGACGCACCAAAATTTCGAAGAGATAAGTAAGAAAAAAAATGTTTTTTCCCTCCCTGGCCCCCAGAAGCACTCTGCAGGCCTCCCAAACCCTCTGTGTGCCCTGTTTTTCGCTCATTTTTGCAAAAAACTGAGCGCGCAGGGGGTTTGGGAGGCCTGCAGAGTGTTCCTGGAGACCAGGGAGGGGAAAAAAACGCCCCCATTTTTGTGAAAAATGGGGTCACAGAGGGTTTAGGAGGCCTGCAGAGTGCTCCTGAGGGCCAGGGGAGGGCAAAAACGCCTTTGCAAAAACCAGGCGAAAAACGAGGGCATTTTTGCCCTTCCCAGCCCCCAGGAGCACTCTGCAAGCCTCTCAAACCCTCTGTGCACCGTTTTTGCGAAAAACGACCCATTTTTGGCAAAAATGGGATGAGCAGGGCGGGGCTTCGGGAGGCCAAAAATGACTGTATTCGGTGTATAAGATGCACCAATATTTCCACAGTCTTTTGGGAGGGGGTTAGAAGTGTGTCTTATACTCTGAAAAATACAGTAATTGTTCTCACTGTCAGGAAATGACTTCTCAGTTCTAGGTTGGATCTCTCTTTAATGATCTTCCACTTATTACTTCTTGTCCTGCCCTCAAGTGCTTTGCAGAAGAAAATCCAGTACCTTCAGGAACTGGAATACTGCTACCACAACATCCTTAGTCCTTCTTTTTTTTAGGCTAGATAATCCTAGTTCCCTTAGTCACAAAGGTTCATACCGGTCAAAAATGTGAAAAGGGAAGAAATAAAATGGCACATTTGGAAAAACCAAAAGTTAACAAAAGAATTACATTTGTTAAATTGTTAACAATTATACATTAGGGCTGAGTTTCCTTTGAGATATATTTAAACTATGGGAAGCTGAGAAGGCTGCAGATTGCAGGAGGGAGAAACAGAGTAGCGTAATGGAATATAGGCTCTTTCATCCTTCCTAACTACATATGTGCAGGATGACCATTGGCACCCATGAGCCTTTTTCCAAAATTCTCATTTGAAATAATGTATAAAGCAAATTTTCCTTCGTGAAATTGAATGAAACCTAGTCTAGTAAGTTAAAGTACCATTAAAGCCAATTAGAGATGGCATGACAATCCATACAGGCAGTCCTCAACTTACAACCAATCGTTTAGTGACTGTTTGAAATGACAACAGACTGAAAAAAATAACTTATGACTGGTTCTCAGACTTATGACCATTGCAACATTCCCATGGACACATGATTCAAAGTTGGGCTGTTGTCAACTGGCATGTATTTATGACAATTGCACTCTCCCAGGTCACATGATCACCATTTGCAACCTTCCTAGCTGCCTTCTAACCAGCAAAGTCAATGGGAGAAATCGGATTCACTTAACGACCACATGATTCACTTAACTACAGTGATGTGCTTAACAACTGTGGCAAAAAACAGTCATAAAATGGTGTGCGACTCACATAACTCCCTTGCTTCACAACAGAAATGTTGGGTTTAGCTATGGTCATAAGTCAAGGACTACCTGTACCAAACCGTGGCCTCATCTCCAGCAATTCATTGTACTTTCTATTTGTGTTTCTTTTCAGTTTGTTTTCAAATAGCTTTAATGAAAGAGGACGAAGATGCCTGAATCTGCAAGCCAAGAAGATAAATGAATCGGGACGTAAAATTTTGTTATGGTGATTGTATTCACTCATGGCTACAGAACAAAAAGCAATCAACCTTTCGAGAACATTTTCAAGGAGGTGTTGCCACAAGGTTATACCAATTTCAGTTGTTGAAAACAATTTTCAGACAAAAATGTTGATAGGAACAATCATTAGTATTTTAGAATATTATGGCATATTGCTTCCCAGGAAATCACTTTCTTTGAAAAACATTAAATATCCCCCAATATTTAGGGAAATAGCAAAACCATTTGACCAAAATTTAACTATTGATTGTAACCCAAAGGTGCTTTTTCTTTCTTTTTTTTTAAATTTATACTTTATTAAAACACATATAAAACACATATAAAAACATATAAAAACATTTACACAACAAACAACATATAAATGAATTAATTTTTTGAAGCATTTGTTTCGTATTGGTCCTTCAATTAGTACAGTTGTACTTATTCCCCTTAGTCTTAACCTAATAATTTCCTTTTTCCATTTCCCCCTCCCCACTCTTCTATTCTATTTTTCTATTCTATTTTTCAAGAGGCAACTGGACTTTCTGGTTTTTTTTTAAAGACGTTTCGCGTCTCATCTGAGAAACTTCTTCAACACTGAACAGATACTAAAAGCAAATATTTGGAATATAATATCACTAAAGCTGATTTTATTTAGATGTATTTTTGTGATCAATTTACCAAGCATGTACAGTATAAATATTTAGTGAAGGACTTTATTACAATCAGTACACAACTGTGGATGTTCCTGTGAATATTAATACTAAATGAAGCAATCTAGGGAACACAGTTTTGTCAATATTGCATTATTTAAATTGTATTTGTTCCAGTTATTTTTTTCTGTTTAATGAAATACATGTATGATTATATTTTGAGGTCAGCTGCCAATGAGAAAAATTTGAAATTGAGCTACTTAGCGTATTAATCCACCAAAGCTAAAACTTTATAGATAAAAGCAATGAGACAGTTAATATCACAGAGGTGAGTAGAACCTACTAGCACATATCACAGAGGTAGATCAGAACCTCATAGGACATCTTGGGGTATTTTGTAATATATTGCCTCCACTGTATAGGATTTAAATTTCTAATATAAAATTTCTAATATAAAAATGAGCTATTATATCATCTCATATTATCTCTTTGCCAGATTTAATGATCATCCCCTGCATAACTGAACAGCAGCTCTTTGCCTTTAATCAATTATTGCCAATTATTTTCTCTGAGAGACAATCTGTCTTTAAATAGAATGATATAAAGGAATGTTAAAGTGCTTCTGGTCAGATAACAAAACCAGATAACAAAATCTGGGTGCTGGCTTGTTGATAGAATTTCATAATGGAATTATGAAACTTTTCAAATTCCCATATCCACTATTCCCTCCTCCCACCGTCAATTACCACTGGCAGCAAGGAATGGAGAGAGGTGCTTGGGCATTTCACTTTGTTTCAGTTGCCCAAATAAGATTGGTGATTTAGATACTATGCACCTTGACTTTGCAGCAAGAAGACAGGATCTGCTGGCTTGAAGCAAGAACATGTCTTGTGCTTATTTCAATAAAATTCTATTTTTTAAAAAAAGTTAAGTTGCTTCTCTGTGAAAAAGTCTACTTCCTCTTTTAAGACAAACACATACCAAAAAACCCCACACATCTCAAATTGTTTAAAAAGTTCCTTTCCCATTACAGTCGAGAAGGAACAATATCCATGTAGCTCTTTTTTTCATTTGCTGTTCTTGCCATGGAAATCCTATTTATCATTGTTCCAAGTTCACAGAATTCCACTGTTTTGTGTTCCAAGATACATGTCTAATACAGCTTTAGTTTCCACAAGATCAAGAATCAATCAATTCATCAATCAAATCAAGAGCATTTCACTTTCCTTTTACTATGATCCTGCTATTCTATTTTCATTGGTTTGGTTTGAGGTAAACGAGGTGATGCTCTTGTTCTTTCCTCTACACTCTAAAGGAGAAAATTGTCAACAACACGTTAGGAATTTCCTGGAGGTGTATAGTGGAAAATCCACATAGATTTTCTCCAAGACAATCTGTCCCCAACCTGGTCCTTCAAATATTCCAGTGATGTATGTATTGCTACTATATGAGTTAATCAATTTTGCTCCAAGTGATCCTCATTTTTCTCTTTCCTATCTTTCCTAGCATTATCATACCAGAAATATAATAAATTGAGCCTGGTCAGAAACCCATCTATAGTTTTTTCCCCCATAATTTTCACAACACTTTGAACCATAAAGGCATATATTACACCAAAACTAACAACCATATTACAGTCTGGTTTACATAATATACTAAGCCATCAGTGTGATCTATACAATACAGAACGCCATAATGTACTTTGTGGCATAACGTGTGAATTCAGCCACTGTGGTTCAAATGTTTTATCATCATTCAGACCACGGTTATTTAGGTTCACACAACATACTAAGCCTGTTTTCATTTAGCCAGTACAAAACAAAAGACAGGTGTGGAGAGGGCTAATGATTTAGATTAAAAGTTTTATTTTTCACTTGGTTGGCTCATGAAGTACAATTTGTGAACCAGCCACTGAGATTTACTTTTCTTCTTTAAGTAACAAAAATTCATAGGTGATCATTTATGTTGAACTCTGGAAGGTTAGAATATATTTTTGGGGGGGGGGGCGAGGGGGGACGACTTACTTTTCTTACCCTGATGGCAAAACTCTGATGGATAATTATGACATTGTGCTGCTGTCCGGCGATCGCCCGGATTACTCCAAACCTTAGGCGGGATCCTTTTTTACGTGCTCAGGTAATGCGTCTCGAATGATCGGGCTACCGCATGAGAGCTGAAAGCCAAGCATTTTGGGGGGAGCGAGAGCATCGTCTGTTCTGCTAGCGAGCTGCAGAGAAGCCCGGGTTTGTCCCCGAGGAGGCAAGGGACAAGGGTCAGAGCCGGCCGCGGTGTGCTGCTTGCTCGCGGGAGATCAAGCTGGCTCTCGAGGGCGGCGCTGCCAGTAGAACGAGGGAATCCACCCGCCCAGCCACTGCGGTTGTGCCGCCGCTTGGTGTGTCCCAGCTGGCGCTCCGTAGCAGGGCGGATGTTGTGAGGAACCGCTGCCGGCGGGGCTTGGCGAGGGAGCCAGGCGTGCGGTGGAGGCGGCGGTGAGTAGTAGCTGCGGTGCTCGGCTCCGGGTGCGGAGGGGCGGCTGCCGTCGAGACGCGGCTCGCGGGCTGCGACTAGGCCCGGGTGGCGAGTCAGCTGGGGAGGCAGAGAGCGCCGCGCCTCTGCCCTGCTCTCCCGCTCGCCTTTAAAGAGGGAGAAGGCAACCCGGCTTGCCAGCCACGCGCGGGGAAGGCGGTGGGGCGCTTCGGGTGCTCGGTGGGAAGCCAGCCGCGCGGCAGGGAGGCTCCCGGTGGGCAGTCCGAGGCGAGGCTGCCTGCTGCACCGGTCCTGCCCTTGGCGTGAAGCCGGCCGAGGGAGGCCTTTTTCGGGGGAAGAGTTGCAGGCGAAGGCTCTTCCTCCTCCTCCTCTTCTGCCCCACAATCTCCAGCCTGGTGATTGTCTACCTTTGCGCCTTTGCTTCCTTCAGTTCCTGGCGTGCGAGCGGCCACCCGGGAGACCCGACTCTCGTGTGAAAAACGCGCCTCGTTTGTGTCACCTTCCCAGAGTAGCGTGGGAAGAACCGAAAGATTTTAAGTATCTTGTGGACCGCCCTTCCGTGGAAAAGAAGCTTTTCTGTGTGATCTCGAAGCGTATGAACTTCGTTGGGTTTTAATGCCCACCGAATTTAGTGGGAAGTCATCTGCTCAGACGTTGCACCTTAATCCTAAATTGATTTTAAGGCTTGATCTCAAAGTAAGCACTGTCTATTTCAAGGGGGGTTCCTTACCAATAATAGGTATGGATGAGATTGAGCACCAAGCCCCAGGAGTTTGGAGGACAACAAACCTCCCAGTAGTAGAAGGGGCAACTGTGAAATCGGGCAAAAGGTCATCGGCTGTGGCAGGTGTTTCAATGCAAGCTGATTTTTTTTTCTTGTTTTCCAGTGGAAATCCCAAAATAAACATAATCCTATACTTGCAACCTTCCACATTATTTGGAAACCAAAATTATTGCAATATTATGCAGGTTGATTGCAGTAATACTTCCAAACTATAGCTGTGATTTTGGCTCCCATTTCCATGTGCCAAGGCTAAATGTAATTTGAATTGATAAAGGGAGAGAATTCTCTAGTGGATTTTCAGCTGTTAAGGCAAACCAATTTAAGTATGGCTTCTTTCCCCTAGTTTACATTTATTTTGGTAGTAAACGTCTAACACAGTTTAAGCCAGAAGTTAAATTTGGGATTAAATTTTGTAAAAAATAATTTATTCACATTATTCCATTTGAGTTGCTATTCATGTAACTGCTGATAGGCAGAAATAAGTCTTAACTGAATAGTGAGAACATCTTGAATAGACACCTAACCTATCTTATACGGTGTATTATTTCATGCTTTGATCAACTAAATGCCAGTGCAAAGCCCATCATGATACAAGAGAGAGAGAGAAGAATTCTCTTGCAGTTGTCACCCACTAATGAACATTCACAGTATGTTTCTCAGCTGTGGTTATTTTCTTCATGAATTTCATTAAGATCTTTCATAATGATCCTAATTTGATCATTGTTTTATCTAACAATAACCCTACTTGAACTGTATTGTGTGAGAAATACTAATTTTAATGTGTCCAGAATCCAAATCAAGGCTTTTACTGTAGGAAACTGGATTCTACTATATCATGAATACAGTAAACCATGGATTCTACTGTTAAGGAAAAGTGCATAATCTTATGAATGTCTGGCTTGTTTTAATAATTTTAAAAATGCCAAATACTACAGTGTTTACTAATGTAGTTACTCCACTCCCTGGTAATTTTAGCTGTCTTATTTGCATTTTTTCTCAGCTGTCTAGTATCTTTCTCTAAGATAAGTGACCAGAATTGGGGCTGCCTTCTTAGTGATAGGCCTTCCTTCCTGCAATACACTTACAAAAAATAATGTTAGATAAATCCTTATTAATTAGAGCCATCTCTGCAACTGTATTTTGTTTCTTGCTGTCTGTTTCTTTCTTGGTCTCTCTTTTTAGCATTCTCTGATATTAGGATTATTTCTAGATATGCATTTATTATCAAAGTTCACAATAAAGAGATTATTAGAAGCCTGTTAACTAAATATTTTCTTATAAAGATGCTGATTTGAGGAGAGATTGTTTTGAATGACCAAGCAAGACAGATTTACAGAAACTTTATGTTTAATTTAAGGTCTCATAGTGTAATAATTAAGGCATCAGGTAAGAAACTGGTAGGAAACTCTGAGTCCTAGTCCTAGTCTAGTATAAAGCCAACTGCATGACCTTGACCTCTTTCTCTTTCTCATAGTCCTAGGAGGGAGTCAAGGGCAAACCACTTCCAAAAAACTTTGCAAAAAAAATTTCAAGGCAGAGTCAAAGGCTCACATTTTCACCAGCCAAGATATATGGACAAGTTTAGTAGAAATGTTTAGTACTTGTGAATATACTGTGGGGGTAAAATATGGTCTATAATAAAAATCTTCTGCCTTGTAGTGTAGTTCAAAGCAGCACTGCAATCTTAGCCTAGTTTTTTACATTATGCTTCAGTCAGCATGTGAATATATATTAACTGTTTATTAATGTTGCCAAAGTTACTTTTTGTGCTGTGTTGTGAAGGCAATATTGAATTACTGTATATGCTTATGTCTGTTACTAAATGAAGATAAAAGTTTGTTGCTTTTGCTGTTGGGTAAGTTTAAACAAAGGTGATGATGGTCTAAATGAGATGTATTTGGAACTTGAAATATACTTGCTTCATATTGTGAGACAGTGTTATTAGTCTATGTTGTATGGGGACTTTGCATCCATAAACATTTGTGAGACAAATATTCTTGAAACTTATTGTTATATGTTTGTACTGAGAATGGATCTAGATATATAACAAATACAACTCTGAGGATAATCTATTGCTTACATATTCTATTAAAAGCATTACTTTGAATAATGAAGAATAATGAATATCTATTAAAGCAAGTTCCCATAAAAAACATAAGTCACATTTTTCTCTTGGTGGCTGTTTGGTTATCTAAAAACTTTTTGTACTTACATAAATATTATGTATATATACTTTGAACATTCTTCTCATTTTTTTCTGGAATATGCTTTTTTCCAATTTTTTATTCTCATCATTTTAATAGATTTAATTTAAATCAGTTTTCTTGTATAGTATTTGCTACTACTATATGTTTAAATTTTAATTTTTGTTGTTTTACAAAACAACAAAATTTTTCATTTTTACTAAATCTGTTCTATTTGTATTAAATGAAATAACTTAAAAGTTATGTGTTTATTTTTCCATCCTAGCTACCAATTCTTATTTAGTATTAATTCTATTTCAGTCTAGATGCTCCAAAACTGTTTTAAAAAATACTACTTGTTTTTTCCCCCATTTTTATAGCAAATTCTTAGAAATGGATTTTCATGTGTTCCTGCATGCCAGAAAGTGTTATTTGAAAAATGACACTGAAAATAAAATGTAAAAATATGTTTTTCTTTATGTTATTCTCAGTAGTTTTGTTTGGAGCATTAAAATCTTTGATAGCAGTTTTTCTACAGATGTTACAATTTCTAATTTATTTCATATTTTATCTTCAAAGTTAGTGACATTAATACTGTCCTGAACTATGACATCAAGAAGTTCTGGCACAGCATTTCCTCGGAAGAATTACAGGTTAAGCAC